CCTGCCGGTTCCGGGGGAAGCGGAGCCGCCTGGACCTGCCTGATCTCCCGCCTGCCTTCTCCTTGGGAGCCATGGAAAAAAATTTAAAAGGAGCAGCGATTGGAGCCGCTGTGGGAGCAGGTGAGGGTCTGGGGTTGGGGGGGGGTTCCAGAGAAGCTGTGGTTGCCTCATCCCTGGAGGGGTTCAAGGCCAGGTTGGCCTGGGCATTGGGCAATCTGGTCTGGTGGGAGGTGTCCAGGGCAGGGGAGGTGGGAACTAGATGATTTTTAAGGTCCCTTCCAACCCAAAGCATCCTGTGACTTTACCATCCCATCCCTGCACCCCACAGCCCTCACTCCCCACTCTGACACCTTTATCCTTCCTGCTTGCGCTGGTGGCAGGGAGATGTGGGTCCCAGAGACCCCCCTAATGCTGTGGTGTCCCACCTGCAGGAGTGGCACTCGTTGGAATCCCGGTGGCCATCGGTGCATTGGGCTTCACAGCCACCGGCATCACCCCTGGGTCGGTGGCTGCCAAGATGATGTCGGCATCTGCCATCGCCAATGGTGGAGGAGTGGCCAAGGGCAGCACCGTGGCCGTGCTGCAGTCCATCGGTGAGTGGGGAGGGCAGGGGAGCTGGGCTGGGGTCATCCCAGGGGGCTGCAGGAGGTGACACACTCATCTTGCAGTAGAGCCCAACCAGCTCTTTAACCCACCGTCAGTCTGAACCCCCCAAAGCTATGGGGCAGGGATCACTCCATGATGGGGGGCAGCTGAAGGGGCTGGCTGTGCTCAGGGAGCAGCCCCTGCTCCCAGGCTGGCTCCTCGGAACCCTCCGGAGAGGTCCTTGGCTGCCTCTGCCCGGTGCTCGGTCCCTCAGCCGCCAGCAGCGATGCTCCCGGGGCATCACACCTCTTTCTGTCTTTGCAGGAGCTGCAGGTCTCTCTCCTGCTACCAAAATCGGGCTGACAACTGCGCTGGGGTCACTTGGTGCAGCGGTCGGTGCCATGCTGTCAAGGTCAGATGACTCATCTGACAGTAGCGACGATGATGATCCTAAGGGAGGCCAAAGCTCGGGCCAGCCCCGGGCCAGACCGGGTGGGAAGGGGCAGCCCCGGTTCCAGCGACGATCCCGGGAGCAGCGGGCAGCAGGATGGATGGGCAGGAATGGCAGGAGTGTGGGGTGCACCCCAGGGGTCTCCCCTTCACTCAACTTCTCCCAGCCTGGCCAGCAGGGTGACTCCCCTCGCCTGCCATCTCCCAGGGGGGCTGGGGCGGTGTGTTTGGCTGCAAATGGGGAGATCTACTACCCTGCCGAGCACCGGGAAAGCCCCTCCTGCCGGTGCCCTGCCTGCACTCCTGCCCGCATTCTTTATTCCAAGGAATGAAAAATAAATGCAAAGTGATTCGAGTCGCTGTTGGAGCAGGTGATGGTCTGGCGTTGGGTCAGCAGCGCTCGGGTCGGCTTCCAGGTCCCATCCCCGGGCTGGCAGAGGGGTCTGGGGGTGCCGGGGAGCCGTGGGGTGCTGCTGCGAGGGAGGGGGCAGCGCTGGCCTGAGCCTGGAGATGTGTCTGCAGCCGCTGCTGCAACCCTGCATGCCTCTCCTCTCCCTCTCCTCCCTTCCCGAGGATGGGGTGTCCCCATCCCTGCACCCCACAGCCCTCACTCCCCACCCTGACTCCTCTGTCCTTCCTGGTTGCTCTGCTGGCAGGGGAGATGCAGGTCACAGAGACCCCCCCCTAACTCTATGGTGTCCCACCTGCAGGAGTGGCACTCACTGTCCCTGTGGCCATCGGTGCAATGGGGACATTGGCACCCAGCACCAGCTCTGTGCCAGTTGTGCCACAGCTGGAACTGTAGGAACGGGCGCCGGCAGCACCGTCACCCTGGTGTGGTGGATGGAGACGCGGGCAGCGCCGTGGCCGTGCTGCAGTCCATCGGTGAGTGGGGAGTTTAGGGAGTTCACACAACGTTTAGCAATTTTGCTGTCAGCCGGTCGAGCTTAAAGGCATTTCCCCTGGGGGAGCTCCCCCGGGCAACGGGGGGCAGTGGGGACCCCTTGGCGGGGCTGGGGCCGGGCTGGGGGGCTCGGGCTGATTCCTCCTCCTCTTCCTCAGGGGCAGCAGGAGTGCCCACAGCTGTGCAGGCTGCCGTGACAGCCGTGGGGGCTGCCACCGGGGCTATCGTGAGTTCTGGTGAACAGTGACCCCCCCGCACCGAGACGCCCCCCAGGATACTCCCTGATGTCTGCTGTGATCCCACAACACCGCTGTGACCCCCCCTCCATCCCCACTGGGACCCCCCGCATCTCTCCCCTGCTGTTGCAGAGACTCACAGGAAAATCAGGGGGGTGATTCCTGCCTCCAAATAAACTTTATTCCAAGGAAACAACTTGATTCTAACCAAAACTGGGTGAGGCTCCGATCAAAATGAATAAACCACAGATCTGAGATGTAAAATGGAACGAACCCTGCACAGAGGACGTAGGAATTCTTAAGGAGGATCCAAAATGTGGAATTGCTCACCAGATAAGGCGAGGGCTCTCACCTTGTCCAGAGTTACTGTGAGGGGTGTCCCCACCCATGGGGAGAGTCCCAAAGCTGTGTCCCGGGTACTCTGAGGGGACCGACTCCATCTGCCCTCCGAGGGGCTTCATTTACCCCTGAATGGAACCTGGTCTCTGCTCAGGTTTGGTCGTGTTAATCCTCGTGGGCAGAAAGACGTTACCTCCTCGTGTGCCGGGGATGGCCGGCACCGTGCGGCTTCCAGAAGCTTCGTCCTCAAGGGGGGAGGGAGGGAGGGGTGGACCTGCCACACGCGTCCCCTGCTGCTGTATCTGACCCCCAAATCAAGACCTCCCCAAAGCAGCCTCCTGATGTGCTGAGCGGCGCCTGGCAGCGCCCGAAGACCCCGCAGACCCCCCCCAGCGACTTCCCACCCCCTTAGGAGCTGCTGATCCGCTTGAGCAATGAATGCATTGAAGCCAATAAAGTTGATTTGCAGGAGGGGTGTGGTGGTGGTTGGTGTGTGGGGGGGGCCCAGGTACCCGACAGCGCCTGGGGGTTTGCAGCGCTCCAGGACCAGTCCCGCTCTGGCCGGTGTTCACCCCCCCCTCTGTCTGCCCCTAAAGCCGAGGTGCTGGCCAGGCTGGGGGGAGGGATGTTAGAAACGGGCTTTAACGGCCGTGGTGCCCCATGGCAGGCTGGCCTGACCCATGGCTTGTGCCCCACGCTGTGTCCCAGCCCGGGCAAACAGGGCTGTCCCTGGCCACCAGCTGGGCCTCGCTCACTGCGCTCTCTGCCACCCGGTCCCTTAAAACAAACGCATGACGTGAGAGCGTGGGTGGACACGGGGACACAGGGGTTCCCCACCGCTTCTGCAGGTCACAGCCTCCTCCTTAATCCCATTCCCAGCTTTCCCTGTCTCCTGCGATGACCCCCAGCCACCCCTGTGCACACCCAGCTCCCCCCAAACGCTGGGATCAGTGTCAGCTGCACGAGAATAACAACGATAAAGACATATTGAGCCTCCGTTAAAGCAAAGACCCCCCCTTGCACCCCCAGACACGGCTCTGGTGCCCGTCGTGCCTGCACCAGGGTGCACATCGTTGCAGATGCTCCGCTGTGTTCGTCCCAAGCAACTTTCACTGAATTTCACTGAATTTTGGAGTTCGAAGGGAGCAGTCCAACTCCCCTGCTCAGCCCCACAATCCCGTGTGTATCATCTATACATATATTTTAATCTTCCAAGGTCGTGCACCCTGTAAATCAGTGTGAACTCAAACTGGGCTGACTAGAAATTGCTCGCGAGGCAGCGATGGCCCAGGTTCCCCCGAAAACACGCAGGCGGTTGCCCAAGGGCCTCCAAGCAGAAGGTGTCTGACCCCAGAAACCGAAACTGAAACGACTTGTCCTGTTCCTTCTGTCCCAGAGCGGCACCGAACCCTTCCTCACCTCAGAGCCACCAAGCCAAAGGAATTAGCACCATCTTTAATAACTTTGCTGTCAGCCGGTCGAGCTTAAAGGCATTTCCCCTGGGGGAGCTCCCCCGGGTGATGGGGCGCAGCGGGGACCCCTTGGCGGGGCTGGGGCCGGGCTGGGGGGCTCGGGCTGATTCCTCCTCCTCTTCCTCAGGGGCAGCGGGAGTGCCCACAGCTGTGCAGGCTGCCCTGAACCCCCCGTGAAGAGCCGTGACCCCCCCGGGTCCCCCCCGGGTCCCCCACTGACCCCTGATGCGATCCCCCAACACCGGACCCCGCCGCGACCCCTCCGCAGCCCCCCGGCCCCCCCTGCATCTCTCCCCTCTGCCCCTCGCTGTATCGGACCCCCAAGTAAAGACCCCCCCGAGGCAGCCTCCGCCTCCTCCCCCGGGGCGGGACAGGCTGGACGGGGCGGCCCCAGCTCCGGCCCCGCTCCGGGGCGCGGCAGACACCGCCCTGCCGGTTCCGGGGGAAGCGGAGCCGCCTGGACCTGCCTGATCTCCCGCCTGCCTTCTCCTTGGGAGCCATGGAAAAAAATTTAAAAGGAGCAGCGATTGGAGCCGCTGTGGGAGCAGGTGAGGGTCTGGGGTTGGGGGGGGGTTCCAGAGAAGCTGTGGTTGCCTCATCCCTGGAGGGGTTCAAGGCCAGGTTGGCCTGGGCATTGGGCAATCTGGTCTGGTGGGAGGTGTCCAGGGCAGGGGAGGTGGGAACTAGATGATTTTTAAGGTCCCTTCCAACCCAAAGCATCCTGTGACTTTACCATCCCATCCCTGCACCCCACAGCCCTCACTCCCCACTCTGACACCTTTATCCTTCCTGCTTGCGCTGGTGGCAGGGAGATGTGGGTCCCAGAGACCCCCCTAATGCTGTGGTGTCCCACCTGCAGGAGTGGCACTCGTTGGAATCCCGGTGGCCATCGGTGCATTGGGCTTCACAGCCACCGGCATCACCCCTGGGTCGGTGGCTGCCAAGATGATGTCGGCATCTGCCATCGCCAATGGTGGAGGAGTGGCCAAGGGCAGCACCGTGGCCGTGCTGCAGTCCATCGGTGAGTGGGGAGGGCAGGGGAGCTGGGCTGGGGTCATCCCAGGGGGCTGCAGGAGGTGACACACTCATCTTGCAGTAGAGCCCAACCAGCTCTTTAACCCACCGTCAGTCTGAACCCCCCAAAGCTATGGGGCAGGGATCACTCCATGATGGGGGGCAGCTGAAGGGGCTGGCTGTGCTCAGGGAGCAGCCCCTGCTCCCAGGCTGGCTCCTCGGAACCCTCCGGAGAGGTCCTTGGCTGCCTCTGCCCGGTGCTCGGTCCCTCAGCCGCCAGCAGCGATGCTCCCGGGGCATCACACCTCTTTCTGTCTTTGCAGGAGCTGCAGGTCTCTCTCCTGCTACCAAAATCGGGCTGACAACTGCGCTGGGGTCACTTGGTGCAGCGGTCGGTGCCATGCTGTCAAGGTCAGATGACTCATCTGACAGTAGCGACGATGATGATCCTAAGGGAGGCCAAAGCTCGGGCCAGCCCCGGGCCAGACCGGGTGGGAAGGGGCAGCCCCGGTTCCAGCGACGATCCCGGGAGCAGCGGGCAGCAGGATGGATGGGCAGGAATGGCAGGAGTGTGGGGTGCACCCCAGGGGTCTCCCCTTCACTCAACTTCTCCCAGCCTGGCCAGCAGGGTGACTCCCCTCGCCTGCCATCTCCCAGGGGGGCTGGGGCGGTGTGTTTGGCTGCAAATGGGGAGATCTACTACCCTGCCGAGCACCGGGAAAGCCCCTCCTGCCGGTGCCCTGCCTGCACTCCTGCCCGCATTCTTTATTCCAAGGAATGAAAAATAAATGCAAAGTGATTCGAGTCGCTGTTGGAGCAGGTGATGGTCTGGCGTTGGGTCAGCAGCGCTCGGGTCGGCTTCCAGGTCCCATCCCCGGGCTGGCAGAGGGGTCTGGGGGTGCCGGGGAGCCGTGGGGTGCTGCTGTGAGGGAGGGGGCAGCGCTGGCCTGAGCCTGGAGATGTGTCTGCAGCCGCTGCTGCAACCCTGCATGCCTCTCCTCTCCCTCTCCTCCCTTCCCGAGGATGGGGTGTCCCCATCCCTGCACCCCACAGCCCTCACTCCCCACCCTGACTCCTCTGTCCTTCCTGGTTGCTCTGCTGGCAGGGGAGATGCAGGTCACAGAGACCCCCCCCTAACTCTATGGTGTCCCACCTGCAGGAGTGGCACTCACTGTCCCTGTGGCCATCGGTGCAATGGGGACATTGGCACCCAGCACCAGCTCTGTGCCAGTTGTGCCACAGCTGGAACTGTAGGAACGGGCGCCGGCAGCACCGTCACCCTGGTGTGGTGGATGGAGAGTGGGGAGGGCAGGGGAGCTGGGCTGGGGTCATCCCGGGGGGGGCTGTGGGGGGTTACACACCTTGCAGTAGAGCCCAACCAGCCCTTGAACCCACCGTCGGTCTGAACCCCCCAAAACTGTGGGGAAGGATCAACCCATGATGGGGGAGGAAGCGTCAGACCTTGCTGGGGGAGGGCACCAAGGCTGGGGACACTGGGGGCCGTGAAGAGAGGTGTCTGGTCTTCTACTGGGAGCACCACACCTGCACTGGTCAGCAGCACTGGCCGAGCTGGGAAGGGGCAGCAGGAGGGGGCTGGCTGTGCCCGGGGAGCAGTGTCCCCTCCCAGGCCGGCTCCGGGGCTGCATCCCGTCTGGGGAAGGTGTGTAACACACACAAACAAGGGGCTGATGGAGCTATTGCTTCTGCTCCCAGGGGCCTTCAAAGAGGAGTGAAACTCGGGGTGAGCTGCTCTCCAGCCACCTGGGGAATATAGAAAACTGCTGTTTAAATGCTGGCTTAGAAACAACCGGTGCCCCCCCCTCCCCTGCCCTTACGATCTGTGAGACTCTGCTTTTAAACTTCGATTCCAATGTTATACAGGAAATGAGGATGTACTCTTTTATTAAGGTTAAAGTTTTTTAATCACTTTTCCAGAATACAGATACGATTCAAACAAAAACTATTTTTGGGGTCTCAGTAATTCACTTATTAATACCATACATTGAACTCTATAAATTCTCATATAAGAAAAAAGTCTTTTTAATATAGGTTATGATGCACTGGTGACCTATTTAAATCTTTTGAAGTAACACTTTGCAGTTATATAGCACCTTTCATCAGGGGGCTGCAAAGCATCCTACAGAATTTAGCCTGATAATGCCCAAACGAGGTAGGAAAGTCTGGCCAATTTAGAGATGGGTACAACCGAGGTACAGACTGGCAGGGGACGGAACAGGAGGCTTCATCTCTACGACAGCGGTGACGTGGGGCGTGCGCCGGGTCCTGGGCTCTGGCACCAGCCAGGGGCTAAATTGGGGAGAGAGTCAAGAGCTGGAGCCCTCACCCGGCTCCCAGCAGGTCGGAGAGACCGTTCCAAATCGTTCTGGCTTTTTGGGGTATAAACAGGTTGGAAAGTCCAGGACTTGCAGAGCTAAGTCCCCAGGGACGCCCGTCGTGGGGGTGTCCCCCAGTCAGCTGTGACCCCCAGGGTTCCGCCAGCCGCAGCTCCCGTGGTGCTGCAGCCACAGCCCAAAGTCCAAACTCCAGGAAAATGGACCAGGTTTGCATTAAAGTCGTGCCCTTTGGCCACATTTTGAGCTTTGCGTTTTGATGCTTTGTTTATCTTGACTGTTTAATTCCCTCTGCAGTACACCTCCAAGCAGGTGGTAATCTACCATAGCTCAGGTTTCGTTTCTTTAATAAAACCCATGTCTCTGGTGAAAGACCATTAGCTCAGCGAGTGTGAAGTCCAACAAATATTTATGTAGTGTGGCCAGAAGAATCCAAGGTGCCCGAGTGCCTTCAAGCCTTAACGACTCCTAAAACCACCTTTTACCACCCCCTGGACCAGAGCTGGCACTGGTGCCATGGCACGAGCACTAACGACCTCCATGGCAGCAGCATCTAGTGAGGACAATTGAAAAATAAAATAAAAAAAAGCTGTTGCAGGTTTTGCCATTTGCCATGGAACAGCAGAAGAGCCGGCACGTGGGAACCAAACCCTGTCTCAGTTCAGGTTCTCCCTAAATTTGTCCCATTTATGACCCATCCTCGGGCACTACATTTTCTTAATAGCACCCAACTGAGCTGTTTGAATGTAAAATGATGAAACCTACACACTTAAATATCCCTATTAGCTTCTTGCTGGGTACAATCACCCCCCAGCCCAAGGCAGCCCAGGGGGGGTAAGAGCATCCCCCCCTGCCCAGACCCTTCCCACCCCCTCACTCTGGTTTAACTCGCTCTTTCTGGCACGTCCACAACAGTTTCCTCCTAAAGCACAACGCAAAAGTCATCAAATGCTTCTTGGAAGTGGTGTGGGGGGGAGGAAACCGAAGATAAAAATGCAAGATCTTACAGCCCAGGCAGGTGCTGTGGGTGTGAGGGCTCTGCTCACGCCAGGGGTCAGACTCACGGAGTCATTCCCCCCTCTCCATTCAAAAAAATCCACCTTCCAAAAAAAAATAAAAGGGCTGGAGTCAATTTCTTAACAACATTGTGCAAAACCACTCAACCCCCCCCGTTTTCAAGCCAGGGAAGAAAAGCAGAGTCAGCCCTCCCTGCCCGTCCTGCTGGGGAAGGAGACTGCTCTCAGGCAGCCGGGCACAGCACCACGAGAGGAGGAAGAGGAGGAGGAGGGATGAGACTTTTCACCTCCTGGTCCTTGGCAGAGGAAATGAAAAGCAGTGGCTCCCCCCTGCTCCACACACACGTGCCCCCCGTGAGGCCAAACCTGGGCTCTGAGCCCCCTCCAGCTTCTCTGCTCCCCAGGCTCCTTCCAGACTTTCTCCTCTAGAGATTTTTTACCCATTTTTTTTGGTGCTCACGCTCGGTTACAAACCACCATCAGGGGCCAGGAGCAGCCCTGAGGGTAGGAGCATCCCTGGCAGGTACCTGCTACAGCCCAAAGATCTCCCCCAGGAGCGCTGGGCCAGGACACGGAGAAAGAGGTATTATCTTTGCTCAGAAATGACAGACACAGATGGGCTTTGATCAGACAGAATCAGGGGCAGGTTTACTTTTCACATAGTTTTCTGTATTAAAAAATACATCAGTGAAATCTGTTACAGGCAGGGACAGGACTACTGAGTACACAACGTCAATAGACTACTTTCTGGTTTTATTTTTGTTAAATTACTTTTGTTACTGCTAAAAAAATAATTAAAAAACAAAACCAAACAAAACAAAACAAAAAAAAAGGAAATATAATTCAAGGCTGTTGATTTTCATCTCTTGAAATTTTAGTGACAAGATCAAATATCAGACCCCTGTTACAGAAGATGGATAACTGACCAGAGCTAGATAAAAACCATACAGTTCTCTTCTTTAAAAATAGTTTGGGTTTCCAATGATTTTGTGACCACTGGTCATCAGAAACACACATCTATAGCTTGAGAAAACGGAGATACAGACAGTATCTGATAATGTCCTGTCCTCTAAACACAATGTGGGAGCTTTTCTCTTCAAAAAGACGCAGTAACAGCCAAGCCTTAAAAAAATCTCTTTCGATTTCCAACACTATGACTACATCTCTTTGGGTGGGATGGGAAAAAAACCACACCTGGTCATTTTCTACCACAGTTCTGTTGTCAGAAGTAATACTGCATCCTTTGTACAACACTGCGCGCGTTGCAAAGGTGGAAAGGGAAAGAGTGCATGTTATCTTTTGTTTGAAATGACAAGGCCCTCCAAATTCGCCTTATAAAATAACCCAAACCATAGGAGGAGGGAAAGAGGAGAAAGGAAAGCTGCCTTAAGGGGGAAACAAAATTTCCGCGCACCACAGTATTTGCTAGATTATATCGACAGACTGCAGAGCTACTGGGCTGGGGAGGGGGCACCTGCACACCCCCCAGGACAGTCACTCTCCTGTACATACCCCAGAAATGTTTGTCCCGTGACATGATCGCTCTGACAGTTTGACCCAGGGCACCTCTTCCACCTCGGAGACCCCAGAGAGCGGGAGCTGGTGTGAGCCCGGACGGAGAGCTAGATTCTGGCCCCCTGTGACCATTTAGGAGCAGCCAGACAGTTGTCCCTTCAGACACCTCCCCTGGCAGCTTCTGCCTTCCTAACACTTGATCCCAGTTTCAAAAAAAAAAAAAAACCAACAAATATTATAAAAGCATTATGTGTAGGTGTATTCGTAACGGAAGGTGTCTGTCTAAATACCACCGCCTTCTCCCCTGTCCTCCTGAAGAGCTCTGGGGTCTCCACGTGTCCTTTGGCAGCAAGGACTCACCCGAGGAGTCACCCGAGCCACAGTCTAGCTCTCTGTGCCCAACAGCGGTATGGTAGATTTTACACAACCATTCTCCTTAAAAACATCTCACAACTTTTTAAAATCCTAAACAGATAAAGGATTTATGCACCACTCAGACAGGTTAGTTCGTCTCGAATTTGTTCAGAGGGTTTATCGGTGCCACAGGACGTTGTTTCTTGAAGCTTACGCAGCTTCCTGCCTTCCAGTTCCAGTTTGTACATCCACTGTGGTTCAAAATACGCCTGTAGGTGACATTATCGTGGCTTATTTGATACACATTTTTCCAAAGGCTGGACGTATTCACAGTTTGGTGCTTCTGATGTGTATTCAAAGGAAAATACCCCACACTTCAGTTAGTCTGATAACTCGATATCAGAGTCCTCTGATTTGACTTTGGCAAGTTCTTCGTGTACCTCCCTCACCATGAGAATCCGTGTTAACATGATGTCCAAGGTCCCGGGGTCTATTGGCAGCGTGGAGTACCACATGGGGCTGTTGGGGACACAGGAGCGCTCGGGCTGGAGGTAAAACACGTCACTTCTCTGCTTCACACTCTCAGAACTGCCAAGGGAAAGAGGGAGAGCCCGTTACTGGAAGCAGCACCCACTCCCACTCACAAAAATGCTAAGGAGAAACAGCAAAGTCACACTGAGATGACATCACGGTAATTTAAAAGGCGCAATTCTAATCTTTTTGTTAGTGACTTGGTTTGCCCCCTTCAATTTAGGGAACAGTTGACTGTTCCCAGCTCACTTTGCATTAGTTGCTTATAAAGAAACAAAGGAAATGAGTCACTTATTTACAGAAGTGGTTCTTCAATCGCAGCATCACCCCATGAATGGTTCTAGCATCTTGGTATGATTGATAGATGCATTTGACATTCAATCTCTGAATCAAACTGGTAGGTTTAGACTGAACATTAGGAAAGAATTTTTCACGGAAAGAGTGGTCGGGCATTGGAACAGGCTGCCCAGGGAGGGGGGGGAGTCCCCATCCCTGGCTGTGTTTAAGGGCCGTTTAGATGCAGTGCTGAGGGACATGGTGTAGGGGAGGACTTTGTAGAGTAGGGGAGATGGTTGGACTCGATGATCCCAAGGGTCTCTTCCAACCTGGACCATTCTATGACTCTATGATTCTAATATTCCAGAATTGCTGTGTCCTTTGGCACAGGGAATGTCCAAGAACTAGCCAAACTAAACCCTGCCTTGCCTGCTCGTGGTGCAGAAACGTAAGCCCACCTGCTGAAAGACTTGCCTGACCCTGAGGCAGCTTCCAGGCTCTGGCAGGAAGGCACAAAGTCCTCCAGAGCAAGGACTCTTCCTGCCCGGCTTTGGAATATTCACATTAAAACAGCAAAGTGAATTTTTACTGCTGCTTGCACCGCTGCAGGGGCTCAGCTCTGATAGATGAAAATGTTTTCCCAGCCCAAGGACATCTAAAAGCTTCTAATGATTCCCAAGTGAGGACAAGGAAGGTAAGAAAAGGAGGGTGAGAGCCAGGACAGACACTAGGCACAACTTTGCCTCAGTAATGGGAATATTTGTAGTAAGCTCAGTGGGTGCAATTTGGAGAGTGATTTATCTGAGTTTTAGCTGATGCTAATGAGATGCCGTTTCATTTTGTGTGTGTATTTTCTTTGAAAAGAGAACACCATATTCCACCTGCTCAATGATCAAACTGAAGTTTATATAGAAACGGGAGAAAAAAATTATTTGTATCTATGTCTTTGCTACACAGCCTCCTTTCTAACTCCTAAATAAAAGTTAATCTCACATTTCTGCAGGCAAAAGCTATCAGCACTTTTACCTAACTCGCACTTTTCCTACCCTCTTTCACAAGGAACATGACAGGGTATTAGTTAGAAGCTTCTCAAAAGTGGTGGGAATCAAAGGAGATGAGAATGCCTCAGTCAGTGCTGCAATGCCCCCGGGTACATTTACACCCTGTGGGTGTGTAAACAGACATTTAAAGAACACCCCTCTCTCTAGGTCAACACCAGTAACAAATACTGCCCGAGTCTGGCAGCTGCTGGAAGTCCTGTCAGTGTGGTTCTGTTCCCACTGGGGGACTGGGGAGAGGAGCCCACAGCACAGGCACAAAGGTCTGGGTGGCTCCTTGCCCAAATGCCTATTGTGGTCTACACATGGATCAAAAATCAACTTCTGACACTTACCATTTTGATAAGTAAAATTCATAAAGGCGGACGGGACATCGCAGGGGATTATCTGTATTTTCAGCCATTTCCACCGCTGTTGCAATCTCCTCCTCTTCACTGCGTTTCCTTTTGCCTACAGATAATTTATCTGGATACACAAAAATGGCAGCAGAGAAGTTCAGTGAAAAACAGCGCTTTCAAGAAGCAGCCACTGAGCCCAGCACCAGTCCCTGGTGGGACTCTGCAGCACACACACACACTCCTGTCACACGCCAAGTCAACTGGGTTGATCTGCTGGATGGGCAAAAGATTGCCACTGGCTACGGGCTGTCCACAGCCCACTCCTCCTCCAGAAAATCACCAAGAACTAGTATCTAGCAGAAAAATACGGAGGATATATTTTTTCTTAATGAAGCAGAATTCATGTAACACACCGGAACCATTAACTGAAGAAGCCAATAAGATCAAATACGGCCCTTTTCCAAATATAAAAAAATAACTGGAAACAAAAATCTGTATTTCTTTGCATCTGAGGCCAAGAGGGCAATCCCTACTCACGTGCAAAAAGAAAAATGAAAAAATTTCGGAAGTGTGCAGGATAACAGCAGAAGTCAAACTATTCATAGCTCTGCTTATTGCATAACCTATTTTTCTCCCTGGTTCTTTTTAAAACAAGGAGCAGATAATACAAATATATATTGCCAAAATTCAGCTGACCAGAAAGGGTTCACTCACCTGATTCTACCTCTTGTTTTTGAAAGGGTGGGAAAAAACGTAAATATGTCATCTTAGTATTATACTTCAGAGTTCGGGTGCGTCTCATAACATGGGCAAAGGACAGTTTCAGGTGCTCACTGACATTCTTTAGTTGGAAGTATTTGGTGTTGAAGAAGAGAAGTGTGTTCAATAAAACGATAGGGGAATATGCACCCAGCTGTTTGCACTCCCACAGGTGCTCCTCTTCGATCCGCGAGAACATATAACCTAGAGACAACGGGCAGAGAAAAAAGAAGAGGGTTAGTGATACAATTTCAGGGCTGTCCCCATATCCAGTTACAAATGAACAGCTTTTACAGACTGGGGCTAATCTAGCAGATTTTCAGAATTCTCCAATAGCACTGAAAACATCCTACATGAGCAGGGCAGGAAGGCAGATGGGAATGAAATTAAGTGGGCAGATTCTGCCCGAGGTGCACGTAAGTGCCCTTCCACTAACCTTTTGTATTAATGAACTGCTTATCAGATCAATCTCAGACCTACCCTAACCAATTGTCATTCTGATAAAACCAAAGAGAGGGGACATAGAGGGGACATGGAGAACCACGCTGGGGAACAGCGTGATGTCCCAGCAGCTGAAGAACGGAGAGAAGGGAGCAGGGGAAGGTGGCAGGCACCAGCAGAATCTCACTAAATTCTAGTTTGACTGTATCGAACCACAGCCAGCCAACTGCAAAAATGTGTAATTCCAGAGACACGGAGCATGAGTTTAAAATGTACCATCTTTATATACAAATAGCCCACTGTGATTACGATAAATCAGTTAGGAAAAGGAGGTATGTGGCTCCTAAGAGATTTACTGTGAAAAAAACCAACTCTGTATGCAGCAGTCTATAAGTAACTGGATTATTTCTGTATCAAATAAGAAGTTCTTTTTCTAAACGAAAAGCCAGTCACGGATCCACATATGGGATTGCCAACATCACTCAAGTTTCGCTGATACTCTGAAAAAGGTCTTACACTGACACGGCTGGTGCCCAGCGCTGCAAACAGCATGATCGCACTCATAGACCAATTAAAAATATCTGCAGAATTTAGGAACTCTTAAACTGGAAGTGACTGAGGTGGGAGGAACTTGGAATTGAGGAGTCCAGACAAGATTCCAGTGATTTTCTAATGTGATCCTTGGACTTATGAGAAGTATTTCCAGTACCAATAGGGAAATACCAGTGCAACTGTACACAGCGTTTGCAGTAACTCCTCTCCAATACTACAGTCAATTCTGGCCACCTGTATATAAAAAAGATTAGCTGAAACTTGATGGAAGAGACCAATTAGCACATTGACTACAGGAACAGGACACCCTTCTTCAAAGGATTGATCAGAGGCAAAGGTATATTTAAGTGTAATCTGTATCTAGTAGAGACACACATCAACCCCATGATGCTAATCTACCACAGACAATGACATGGAGAAAGGGAAGACTAATGGGAATGCCTCAGATCACACTCTGCTTCATGGCACTGAGAAAATATTAATTGATAATACGGCTTTGTCATGCAGCTACACGAAACAAAATAATTGTCCTACCATTTGGAAGAATTGTAGGTTCCCAGATTTTCAAAAGTTTTGTAAGTTCAATCATAAACCTGGAATAGGGCTCGGTAAAAATGTTATCTATTCTACCATTCTCAAACAGGTACTACAAGAGAAAAAAAAGGAAGACATACAGTTTGTGATTATCGAACATTGCAGAGAAGATACAGGACATCAGACTCTTTTCCTTTCTGATGTCCCAGTGTCTTAAAGTCCAAAACCCTTTGCTGAAATCTTCAGTAAGATATCAAATCGAATGTTCTGCAGGGACTGGGACCTGCCCAATATGAAATGAGAGATCTAGGCAAGAATTGTTTTAAATATTCCGAGCTCTAGAGCCCTTTTCTGTAAAATCATCATCCTTTAAGGGTTAAATATTCTTGATAAAGAATATTTTCTATATTCTATTCTATTCCTATATAAACCAGAAGAGTTACTGAGCACCCTTCTACTGAAAAGAACTTCACACGCTAATGCCTCCTGATAATAGATACAGACCCAGCACCAGGCTGCTGAAATAGCTCAACTTATGGCATTAATGTGGAAGTCCCTTAAATTCCTGTCAAGCAACAATTAAAAAAAAAAAGTTTTCTACAAGCCAGGAGTATGTATAAATAAATTAGTCAAAACTGGAGCACACTAAAGATGCTGATACTCTTAGATCTCATCAATGGCACTTTGAATTTCAACTCTACATATTTTTTTTTCAAGCATAGCCAGGAAAAAAAATAATTAAGTGAATTCCATGCCTAGTTAAATGATAGGTTTGACATTAGCAGGAGCTTTCGATTCTGTATCTCCACACAACTGTTTGAGGAAAGGAACAAATAGGCTACTCTAAAAAAATAAAGTCACCAATAAATATACTGAACTGACACTGAGTTTTAACAGAACTTAGTATTATTCTAGGTTTGTACTGCAACTGTTTCAAACCATTGCATTCAGGCAGGTAGCAAGGACCCATTACCTTACTCTCAGCATTCACTAATTACAATGCTATTACTCCCATTGCATTTTTTCTCTAAGTGTGGCCAACACAGCAGGGACCTCCCAGCCCCTGGAGGAGCTCAGTTTCCATTGGGGAACCTATTCCATGTAAACTTGGGTATCAGGAGAGCATTGTGCAACTATTTTAGATCTAAAACGTTCCATCACAAAGCATTTCTGAGGAGACTCAGGTTTCTGCAAATCTCTCTGATGCATAAGAATAAAAAAAGGTACCCAGATTTCTCCAGGCAGAAACCCCTCGCCCTCCAGGCCACGCTCCCCCCAAGAGAAGCAGCTCATTCAAAGCTCCAGACAAATTAGACAAATATGGGATTCAGACAGACTAAAATAAAACACACACAAAAAAAAGATACATTCTTGCCTCTTCTACAAAAACCAAGCAGCTACACGGGCCTATGGATATAAAGGACAAATAACCAGAGCGAGTTTCTCAGCAGTAGCCTGATTCCCCGAGTTACCTGCTGAATTCCAAGGCACAAGTATAAGATGCTGTCAGGGTCATATTTTTCTCCATTTGGTCTCCGCACCTCTTGAATGAACTGGCACAAGCCAAAACTCAGCTCAGCAAAAGTGCATGAGAGAATGTCCTCCTTGAGTTTCACAGGACGAACTGTGGCAAAGAAAATCATTAGAAAAATTAATTTAATTCAACAGATTCAATCTTCACACATTCCTTATTATTTCACGTAGGCAGAACTGTTAAATCTTCTCTCTCATACAGAAGCACCCTGTGTGAGCAAACCTGTGACCCGTTTCCTACCTGTTGGCTTACAATGAACTGAAGATTTAGCCAATTAAAACCAAACCATCAGCGTGTCCAGCCAGTATAAACGCTGCAACTGAGTAATCAGGGATGGAAACTGAGACATGTCAATGTCAGGGATTTGGCAGCACCCAAAGATATGGCTCATGTTTTGGGGCTGGCAGGGCAGGGCTGGGCTGGTAAACAGGTTTCACCTCTGTGGCTGGGCTTGGGGAATCCTGAGCAAGAGAGGGATCTTGAGCATTTCCCAGTGGTTCTGGATGTTCTTTCTGGGGAAAGTGAGCGAGTTTGAAGGGTGGTGCACAGGACTCAGAAAGGGAAGCAGAGCCAGCAGAGAATGAATCAATCAAAGAATCCTCAACGCAATTAACCAGGCTGGGCTGCTCCTTCCCTGACAAAAGCACCCGGTTGGGACCCAGCAGGGACCCTTTCTGGGTGGACACAGTCTCCTGGAACTGTCTCCAATATCTGCTTCCTCAGCCACAAGAAGAAAACACAGTAATTCATGGGATTGCTCTTCTTCTGGGAAACAGAAACCAGCTGTTCTCACGTCATGACAAAAAAAATTCCAAATGAGAGAGGAAAATGCAGATCTTATTCAACTAGAAATCTTCCCTTTGGGATCTTTCTTACACAAGCCCTGCGATGCTCAGTCCTTTACATTGCGTAAGTATTTAATGTGGTTCACTCTCTTCCCCGCCATCCCCCAAAAGTTCAGTTCTATCCTAACTTAAATTCTCTGCTTGACTCTGAAAAATTGCCCACAAAACTCTCTGTACAAACATGTAAGACAAATTTGAGCCCAGGGAGAAGGGGAATTAGACACTGCCAAATCCCAGGACTGCCGTGCTTTCATAAAAAAAGTAAAATAATCTCTAAGTAGAAAAACAAACAAAAATGACATTTATGTTGCCATTACTATCTGTTACCCCAGAGAGACATAAGGAACAATTCGCGTCTTTTAAAGTTAATTTCCAGCAGGTTACAGCACAGAATGGAAAAGTTTCTTTCCATCTGTGAAGCCTAGAAAGAAGGTGTTAAGATTTTTATGTTGTAGCCAGATTTTTTTTTTTTTTTTTTTTTTTTTTTTTTACAGCAAACAGCTCTGCTGACAAACAAATGCTTTGTGAATGTGTTAGCTACAGATGAAAAAAGATGGGGCCAAGTTAGTGTTGTCAACTTAGAGTGATGGCCTGGTAATAGCTCAGGAAAGCTCTGCAGCTGCATAAAACAGCTCTTCTACAAATGAAGAATTACCCCATGCAAATGAACGCAATATGGAGGTTAAAAGACTAACATTTCTAATGTTGAAAAGAAATCTCTTTTCTTATAGCCTGCTTTAATAGGTAACAGATCAATTAAGAATGCAATAGCTGTGATTTTTAAATGCATGGAAAGCCCTAAGAGAGCGTTCCATAAAATCTTTTCTCCACTCACGGATATTTTAAAACTCCGTAATATCCAATCCTAATTTTAATTTGTACAACGCATCACGCCAAGTGCTATTTAACTAAGTACTTCTGTTTCCACTGAGAGAGGAAAAAATTACCTGAAAACTTCAGGTCCCCTTGTTCCTCCTGTGCGTTTTTCCATTGGACCCAGTTTTTCCAGGCGTTCACCCCGTACATGTACTTCAGGGTCATCCCAGAGACGGAGCACCCCGGGTAGGAGCCCTGCATCAGATTCCGGGGCTCCACAGAAACCACAGACTTCTTCCGTCCCTACAGGCACCCAACCACATCAAAACACCTTTAATCAGCTCTTCATCTCTGGGTGCTTAAATAATCTCACATAAACAGGCCGTTACGCTGACATGGTAACGAAATCCTACTCTCACGACAGAATCTGCATGGATATACACGTGTTTTTAGTGTGTGGACAAATATTAACCACATTTTACAGAATAGGTGCAATAAAATGCAATAATTCTCACTGTGATAAACATGCACAGAAATAGATTCCTCTCTAGCTACACAAGAAAAAAATGATTCTTTGCTGTAGATTTTGACACTGCTTAAAAGACATCTCTTTTGGAACTTTTTGAAACAATACACATTTTAAAAATGTTCTGCACTAAAAAGAGCATTTATTCTTCCTTGTTACAGAGGGGGAAGAAAGAAAATCTTATCTCACAGAGCAGAATGGGGAAAAAAACATATAGCGTAGTTAAATGGAATTCTTATTTTCACCCTGGAGCACTATTTTTTTTACTTCTGAGAATAAGCACACACAGCAGGTTAATGGAACGTGTTCAGAAGCACTTTCTTACCCGTCTCTTTGGCTGTGGGAAGCCATCTCTGTGTCTCCTCCTTGCTCGTGAACGTGAGTGCACACCCAGTCCTTTACTGAGAGGGTCAAATGAGTCTGAAGTCAAATCAACACCATTAAGAGTTTAATTATCTGATTTAAGAGCCCAGGCAGAAGTGTCACTTAGATACAGTGGAATACCTTACAGCTGGCAATTGCATCTGTATATTCAAATAATGCTTTACCTTTGAATCATTAGGCAGTATGTCTACCCTCTGCATAAAGAAAGTAAATTCGTGGAACAGAAAAAAAGTCCCCCCACAACAAGGGGTGCATTTATTCAGGAAAACCTATATTCTTTTGCACCACTCCCAGGGGTCATATCCAGGGGGACAGAAGTGGTAATTCAAAGGAGTCAAGCAAGGTGACCTGCTACTCCCATCAGGGAGTCTGTAGAATGCTGCCTTTAAAGATAGCAACAATATTTTTAAAATAGTAATTTACTAATTAGCAGAGCTGATATATTACTGCAGCTTTCAATATCCAGTTTTACTAAACGAACGCACACGCCCTTCATGAGCAGGCTGCTGGCACAATGCTTACTCACAAAATTGTGTGCACTTTCATACAACAACGTGTTTTTCTTCACATTATACAGACCTGATGGAAAATCTGCCTCCAGGTCCTGCTCCACATCACCTTTGGAGAACTGCTTCAGCTCTGGCTCCGGCTCGGGCAGGGGGTTGGATCGTAAGGCGTAGTGATTTAACTCCTCCTCCCAGCTGTGCGGAGTGGACACTGCTTCGGACTCCAGATCTCCACTGTACGTGCTGCCTTGGTCTGCAACGAGAGGGGTCAGATATACCACATGCTACAGGAAAGAGGAGTTGGCAGGAAAAGATACAGGAGGTTCAAAATCCACGTGCAAAAAAAAATTTAAAAATTAAGAGGAGTTGGCAGGAAAAGATACAGGAGGGTCAAAATCCACGTGCAAAAAAAAAATATTAAAAAAATCCAACTGACCTTTCTCAAATATCTTGGGGTCCAGGAAGAGCTCATGCTCGGATGTTTGAGATCCTTTAGAAAAAGAAGGAAATCTGTGTCTACAAATGACTGATGACTGGCCTAACTAACATAAAATACTTTGAACACTATAAAACTACATATTAGGGCATAATACTAACACACACAGTGCCTCTTCTCCTCCACTAGAGTTCCCCTAACAGCTTTCTACCTTGGTCACGCTGTTATGGGAGGAACAAATGCAGAACTAACCCATGTTTGCTTTTCCAAATGTTTCCATCCCTCCGCGTTTGTTATTTGAGTCATCTGTAGACAAGTAAGATATTTTGTTGATTTCAGCTTGTTCCACTTTTATTACATTGGACCATCATTATCCAACACATTCTAATCTCCATCACTCTCCAAGAATCCACCATAAAAAGCCTGATAGGAAAATATTCTTGTAAAACAGCTGCTCTGCCTTCTTGATTTTGACTCCTTCTGCTAATGCATGATGTACTGATCTGGAGATTATTACCTCTAGCAATCTGTTACTGTCAACAAGAGTCAAACCAGCACCTAGGATGAGGGAAAGGGAATGCAAAGACACTTAAACCCCTGCCAGTGCTCAGTACGTAACACGGATTCCACGCTAAGCACAGCTCTACTGGATATTGACCACTAAAACCCCTGTGAAATTACAAAAGCTTCAGAAAGGTGCAAGGACAACCAGCACCTAGGGAACTATGAGATGGGAACTATGGAGGAGGAGTAAATTTATCTCAAAAGAAAACATGTTTTCAAAACAAAGAACCGAATATTGTACACAGAGGCAAAACTATCTCCAAATACCCAGTTCAGCTGAATTCCCAGAAGGCTGCCTCATGTTAAAAGAATAAGTCATCAAAATTGCTGAGACATGACATAAGCATAACAGTTGTGTCTAGGCTGGCACTCCACCTGCGTGAGCACTTTTATTGTGGAAAATAAATGCTGGTAAGTCGACAGGACCATCTAACTTGGCATGTCTAACTGGGAAGCAGCCAGTATAGACCCTACATCTATTTCTCTACCTATTTTCCATGATGAGAGGATCCCCATCTCACTGCATTCTGTTTCCTTTTCAGAAACATCACATACCACCATGAGAGTGTGTTTTGTCTTTCTCCTCATCTTCTGCAATCATTTCTGCCATCTGAAGGAGATCAGCTTCAAACGGATTAGTGGGAATCTTTTCCTTGATGTCCTGAATAGTTTCAATGATCTTATCAGCATTATCCAGGGTAGTGGGGAAGAGCATGGGAACTGGTACCTATGGAGCACAGGGAAAATATTAGGGCATGTTTGGGGCTGAAGGAAAGGAGATTCCTCTCATTTAATCTTACATATGTTTTAGGACTACTAAATTTAATTCTAAAATAACTCCAGATTGGACATTTTGTCTCATTTCTGCAATAACCCCACAAATTGGCAGTTTTGTGTGATGATGCGTAACCCAACACGATGTGATGAGGAAAGAAATGGCTTCAAGGACTGCAAATACCTCTCACATGACTAGTCACAAACACTAGTGACAGTGCTCCATGCCCTGTTCAGAGCCCAGACTGAAACCCAGCCCTCCAGTGAACTGAAGCACAACTTACAGGTACGGGCATCCCGAGCGGAACCGGTGTGTACTGAGTGTAGAGGTGAAGGGGCACTGGCACAAACACTGGTACAGGAACAGGTACCACAACGATCTGGGGTGGAACTACTTCTTCTTCTGTCAAAAATAGAACACACCAAAAGTTGTTTAACCACATGACTGTCCACTGCACTCCATGATAATTGTCTGGCCTTGTGTTTGTAACTCGGTGAGCACAGCACTGCATCTTGGTTCACAGTCACCTTTCACTTTAACTTTGCTGTAACAAGTATTAATAGCACAGTTTGGAAATAAACAGCACGGTGAGCACACACAGGCATGTGGGAAGGGAAGAGTGGAAATAGGTGTCAGCTACATCCAGGTAAGTGGTGTGTTACTGCAATTATCTCACAAGTAACTACAAGACCATAAGAAGGTACTATTAAAAAACTAAGTAAGAAACTAACTACAATCTTCCCACTTAACTTCACCTTCTTCATTAGAAGGTTTACATCAACACTAGATACTCTCCTTCTGTAGCAACAATGATGACAAAGCCATTCCTCAATGCCAGACCGGACTATGGAACAGCCTTTGAAGGTGTTTGTTTCCTCCCACCCAGAGAGAAAGCTTAGAGCACATACATATCCAATGAAATTATCCTGGAAATAGGGACTTAATTTTCAGAGATTCTCTGTATCTGTATCTAATAATTAGAGGAAAGTGAGAGTTGAAACAATCCTTGAGAAATCATGCACATTATTAAAGTGAGTCCACTCTTGTGGCTTGTGCTGCCAGAGCTAAGAACTCACAAATTCTGGCCTGAGGAAAACAAGTTCCCTCCGTAGCCTTTTGCGTGTCGGTTTACATCAACACTAGATACTCTCCTTCTATAGCAACAATGATGACAAAGCCACTCCTCAATGCTGGACCGGACTATGGAACAGCTTTTGAAGGTGTTTGTTTCCTCCCATCCAGAGAGAGAGCTTAGAGCAAATACATATCCAATGAAATTATCCTGGAAATAGGGACTTAATTTTCAGAGGTTCTCTGTATCTGTATCTAATAATTAGAGGAAAGTGAGAGTTGAAACAATCCTTGAGAAATCATGCACATTATTAAAGTGAGTCCGCTCTTGTGGCCTGTGCTGTCAGAGCTAAGAACTCACAAATTCTGGCCTGAGATAAAGAAGTTCCCTCCGTAGCCTTTTGCGTGTCACTTAACTATTGCACTTCATTTTCCACAGTGAAGATGACTGCAGGATGCTAAGATGAGTTAAATCTCAAGATTTAACTCATGAAGCTTTAAGGATTTCAAAGAATGGAAAATATTTTCCACTTGTGAGGCAAACTGCTACTTGGAAAACACCGTAAGACAATCTGAAAACTATTTAAGGTTTTAAAATATTAAAATATTCTCTGTTACATAAGTCATGCATTACTCTCTCAACTGAAATAAAGACCATTCTAGAACAGGTAGGGGATTCAATACGTACCTGTCTGGCATTCTTTGTTTTGGGTGTGAGGTTTGCAGGAGGTGGCCTTAGTCTGTGTGATGGGCTTGCACAGTAACGCTTTGTTTTTTAGAAGCCTGGGCGGTTGTGAGGGTGGCAGCTTTAGGGCATCTGTCTGAGTGCTAGCCTGTTGGGAAAAACACACATGAGGGCAGAATCAGTACTGGTTTGAAGGATATCACAACATTAGTATTTATTCTCTACTATGGGAGGTTGAACAATTTAAAACTTTTCTTGCTGATCAAAATGATCATTTAAAAACTATTGCAAGAAGAGCGTGCTAATGTATTCGGCACTTTCTGGTCTTCACCTCAATTTATTTTACTCAACCAACAGGCTTTTCTTCTGTTACCAGTGCAGTGAGCAAGCCTGCAAGTATGTTTGGTTTCTGGAGTCAAACAACCTCTATAAACTTTTGACCCTGGAATGTTACTGATGGCAGGGATCTCATGAGGACTTAATTGTAAAATTCTTTTGACAACTAAAATTTTGGCTGATACAGATAATCAAAAAACTTAGTAAAGTGATGTGAAACTACTGAAAAGCAATTGAAGTAAAAAATAAACACAAACACCGGCAGCATCAGTATCACTTCCTGATTACACACAGACCAACTGTTCCTGTTTGTACTAAGGTCAGGTGCTGCTCACTGTGATTTTCAGCCGTGCATTCAAACATCAGGATCTGCTTCATTAGGGAGGGTTCATACTCTAATCTGTAAATGACACTTCAGCTAAAAGCAAGGGTATGACTCTTCCAGAACCTAAGAGCTACACAATAAAATCTTCACCTTTTAAGAGAGTTGTGAGCTGCACACCACAAATTGCTACCTCAAATTGCTCAAGAATAGGAACTCTAGGAGCCATCCCCAGATAAGCGGTGACGATGGCTTCCCACAGCTCTGTCACCACACTACCAGGGGGTGGTCCCCTTCCTCCCACGTTAGTCCTTTTGACACCACATCCCACTTCTGGCCACAAAAGGTGGCCTCAAGTACAGAAGCCACACAGGAATTGCTTGAGAACTACAGCCATCTCAAGAGCTCCAGTTTAACAAGCTTCGTCTTAAAACATCGAATCAATCTGTCAGTGGGCACAAAAAGACTTTATACCATACAAGCTCTATACATTTTAGAAAAAGCATCTGCAAACTGGATGAATTTTAAATCCCAATCACAACTAGGAAAAGCAGTTACAAAATGATGGTGCAAAATTCTTGGATACTTTACTTGTTATTGATACAAACTGGGCCAAAGTGAGAAAAAGAGTCTCTCGTAAAACTTACATCTCCTATTATTTTTGCTGTCACAGTAGGGACTGCACCTGTGAAGAAAAAACATACAACAGCCTTTGTACTTATCATCAAGGACAATAATCCATGCTCTGCTCTTTCTCAAGAGAAAGAGTTCCCAATAAACCTCATTCCCTGGTGTATGTACATTAATTTAAGTCATTATTTACGCCTAGGGAAAGAAGCACGAAACTGTAACCAATCTGCACCAACGTGGAGCATAATGAAGAGATCCTCAGTGGAAGAGATCCCTGAACAAATATAAATGTTCAGGAATAGGGTTTTAAAAATACAAGCATCATATTCAGCAGCCTTACCCTGTAAAACATTGTTGGAGTTAACGGTAGGCTGGGCAGCAGGGGTGCTTGCAAGGGACACCACGTTTGCTATGACAGGGGTCGAGTCCTTTCTCAGAGAAGGAGGGCCTGACGAGGAAGCTGGTGCCATAGAAAGGTTTGCTGGAGGGAATGAAGAGAAGAAAATTAAAATAAGCATAAGTTAATTTATAACACAGCATTTCTGAAACAACACCCACCCTCCCGACTTATCTCCAAATGAAGAAATCTCCGAATTCAGGGAAAACAGCTCCCACCAATGTAAGCAGCAGATGTGCACAAAGCTGAAGAGCTGAGTATGGGCTGGTGCCTGCTATAAACTTTGAGTTCATACTCTTTATTGCTCCTTGGGTACCTTATCGTCTCAGTCACCACCGCTCAGTGGGAGATTATGCCCCTCTCTAGGATCAGTGCTATTCCTGCCCTTTCTTTGGCTTCCTCTTCCTGTCTTTGTGGGCCTTTCTTCCCTTTGCATCTCATTCCCTACAGAAATCACAGTTCCTATTCTGGTGGGTTTCATTCCCACCCTCCTTCCCGTTCCATTTGCTAAAATAATGGGCAAGGAAAGAGCTACATCTCCGCATTAATACCTCAAGAATCAACACTTAATGACATAGAAATGGTAACTCTTCATATACCTACAAATACTTACAACCATTAAGTCCACTAATTTCACCAACTGATTATTTTTTTGTTAGAGGAATATTAACATTCTACTGTATCTCACTATGTCTAACCAAGCACAGGAGACAAGTGAAGTACTTAACGTATCTTCAACAGATATCAGTTCATTTTACCCCACTAAGTTGGACCTTTGTTTTATGAAACCGATTGAAAAGTGAGTGCTTTTGTTTCACCTTCCTTAAAATACAACCTAGATTTAGTATATGAACCAATCTCATCTCACACCTGCAGAAATTTGAAATTCCCTAAAGTAAGAGAAAGATTTAAAACTGAGCCCGTTCAATGGCAATGGGCAAGGCCCCCACTAGAGGGTCTACTTCAAAACAAATCCAATTTCCAAATAAAGGTTCCTATCACTTTTGTGTGCACCAAAAGGCCTGTGTTTACCTGTGTTGTTTGGGGGGGCAGGGTCAGAAACGCTCTGCTGATTGCAGAACAACAGAATACAAAGCAGGTTGCAAAAATGCTTGATCTCCCCTTGCCACTTCATGGACTCGCTGAGTTTCCCTTGTCTCTTACACCCATCACACTTTGCCATCTAGGAAATAGAGGGAGGGAGAAATTAAACACACCTGTAAACAGCAACAGAGAGCAAGTGAATAAAAACCTTTCTTCAAACTGTTCAGCAAATATAGTGTACAGAAATCTGTAAACTGCACAAATGATGCAGTCTTAAGACAGAACAACAGAACCTTCAGTGTCTGTCTGCCCACAGCCCTTATTAGGTGTTCTCTAAATAGAAAACATACTCAAAAGTTAAGGATTTACTCATCTCTCACATAGAGAAAATATATTCCACAGACACAGAAGTCAACTACAGGCAGCTCCGGATTTACAAAGGCTCTTTGGCTCACACATTTACATTCTAGAGGACGCTGTGTGAGAATATTGCTTACCTGGTAAAACAAGACTGTGAATTTAGACATGCACTCCTCTGAACAAAATTCCTCCATTTTCCCCCCAAAGTGACTCTGGACCAATTTGGGAGAAGTCTGTAAACAGTAACTGCACATTTTACAGTGGTTTCCCCAGCGTTTAGCCAAGTCGTGTTTGTAGAGCAGCTTACAACCTAAAAGAAGAGAAAACAGCAAGAAAACAAAAGCATCCTTCAATATCAAAATGAGATTTCCTTGGCACTTCTAGCTCTTATGTTTAGTTATATCTGTAATAATTTGTGGAAACACACCATTAAAATGCTAAGTGTGCACAAAGTTCTGTGTTTCTAAACCTAATAAAAGAGTTTTCTGTTTCTTTAGGTTTCTCTTAGCGTCACTAATAACATTAAGGCAAAAAACACTTCTGACTTTGATTCATCTGAGACACAGCCCTGCCCTTCCTCACCTTCGCTACAGAACGTCTTATCGATGCCTGAGAACCGCACCGTCTCCTTGATGATCTTCTCAGTCCTGCAGTACTCACACAGCCCTATCACACTGCTCCTCTTCTTGTACTCATCGCAGCAGGTCTTCCCACAAAACTGGAACATTTTACCCTGCAACACAGCCAGAACGTTTGGGTTTCAATGCTTCACACCCCAGATAATGTATTTCGATAGTTAATAAAAACTCAGAAGCATATTTATGCCCTTGCAAATCAACCACGAGAAGCACTGGCAAATAATTCTCCCCATTTTGCTTTATGACAAAGACAACACAATTTTCTGCAGAAAGCCCTCACCAATGTGCTTTGTCTTGGAATTAAAAGGATCATCTTTGAGACCAAGAATCAGGAATGTGCTTACCTAGCCAGGCAATCATAGTGTTTGGGTTAGTGGAGGTTGTTTTTTTGTTTTTTTTCTGGTTTTAAGACCAAAAAGCTAATATCAGTATTAATTTCAGTAATGGTTAAATGATAACCAAAATCAGTTCCAAATTCCTCCACGGCAGGTCACAGGAAGCACAGAGCAGTACTGAGAGACCACTGCACATAAGCTACAATTTCTTGGGTTTCTGTTGAGAAATACCAAGTTGAAAAGCCCAAATCTTTATTACCTTGTAGTCAAGCAGCTCGGGTTTGGTTGCAAACAATCTGTTACAGTGCTGACACCTGAGTTTTACAACAGGGCGGGCAAAAGTGACTTGCTGGGACTGGGCAGCCAGCCTCTGGAGACCAGCTGCAGCCGAGCTGCTCATGGAGCTGGGGGACACCGTCGAGGTGGTGCCTCCGGCCGACACCGTCGCCCCCGAGGGAATGCTTACAATGACCTGCCCTTGAGAGAGAGGTACCACCGAGGAGTTCGTTCCTGCAGGCTTGTTGAACAAATTCTGCAGGGGAACAAATGGAGGAACAGATTTTATTTTACAATATTACCTATTTTACCCCAAATCCCAGATATTCGCACCATCGATTCATGATGCTACTAATTAAGCTAAGAAGAAATCCTGGATGTCACACCTGAAAAGCCACCACACAACTGTAGCTGCAAAAATTGCGTATGCTCCCATCTGACATCGCCAAGTGATACTGAGGGTTTGCTGAAGTTTTACAGCTGTTGCACTGAACTTGAACACCTGAGGGTGAAACAGAGAAAGAAAAAGTGATTTATGCAACACCAAGTTGTCTGGCAGATAATTCTGCACCGTGCATACAAATCCAGAGAACGTGACTGACAAGCCAAGGCACACAGAGAAGCCCAAGATGAGGTTTCTCAAGATCCAGAAGCAGACACTGCAGCTGCGGTGCCTGTTGTTTGCCAAATTCTTTAATTAATGTCCCAGTATCCCTAGGATGTCAGTAAGCATTTTTCTGCTTTACAAGAAAAATAGCTGAGGCTACGTTTGCAACACCAGGCAGAGGTAACTGAGCTCACCACCCTGGCGAGCAGGAGCAGGACAGTCCCAGTGGTGGGACAGCACATGGCCACAGAAGTGGATTTGTCTGCTGGGAAACCCACCAGCTGCACTTGCAAGAGCAGAAAACAGATTAAGGTTTATTATTATCATGTTTAAGCTCTCTGAAAACAAAGCTGAAATGGCTCTGCTGTCACTGTTATCTATGGTGGAAAGTCCTTATGTTCCCATCTCAGCACCTCCCTTTAAAAAAAAAGCGCCACTTCCCACACCCTCAAAAAGAACATCAGTCTTAATTCAAAACAAATCAAGTTTGGATATGAGCTACGAGAAATTAGGCTTCTAAAGAAGCAAAAGGATAAACTTACCTGCAGATGTAACCATTTTTACTCTATAGGCTGACAAGCAGTTAACGGAGCAAAACAGCTCAGTTTTTCCCAAGTTATTTGTGCTCTCGATCATCTCGGCCGAAGATCTCAAAGATTTACAGAGTGTGCAGGGCGTGATTTTAGCTGACTTCTGTGGAAACATGGAAATCCGTCACCCATTTGAACCTTAATATTTTTATTAACCTGGAAATGAATCACTAGCATATAAAACATGTATAAAAGTGACTGCCAGTGCACTTGACACAGCACGTATTTTAGAGCGGTATTATTTGTGATGAAGATTTCAGGATAAGCACTGCTTTTGCAGACCAGTTTGGATGGTACCTGGGTGCCAGGGCAAAGGCCTCCCAGTGCAAACCACACTATGTGCTGTAGTAGCACAGATTGTTCAACATTTTGGCTGAGAAGCAGCATTTTGCTTATGATTTTTAATCCATCAGCTACCTATGTAAGGAATATTCCCATTTAGCAGATGAGAAAATGAACAGAGAGGAGGAGGTTCCTCTCTCACCCGCAAACCCCCAGAAACTATCAGAATGTATCTGACAATTAAGGTGAATGCCTTTTAAAAATCAATAAAAAATAGACAAGAATTCTAAGCTTTGAACGGACTGTTTTTTAGGAAGACTAACATATATGAGCTTTTGACGTGAGATGGAAAAGCAGCGTGAAATCCCACTCCTTTCCAGATTATTTAATTTAATTTCCAGATTTGTTTCAGAGGATAACTAATGTTTTAGGTAATTTTCTGTATGAAATACTTCTACCAGATTTATTTTTTTTTAATCCATTAGGCCTTTCTTGGCCTAAGTGGCCTGAATAATGGGGTAGCAAAGTCAAGTCACAAAATGAAGTTACACTATCTTATCAGAAGGCAATTTTTCCTGAAGTAATCGTGTTAAAATAATTCAGTCAAAAATAATTGAGCTATTATAATAAATTAAGGTTCTCTCAACTGCTCAGCTTTTTATGAGGCTCCACTACAATCAAAATTTAAATATTAAACATTTAAAAATTATAATCAAAATTATCAACTAATTATTTCTTTCCCTCTCCACTTAATTCAGATGCTACAGTTCAACAGAGAATACTTAAACAGGGAGAGCATCTCAAAGGCTGAAAAAAGTCACAGTCTTCTGCTGCTGATCGGTCCCTCTGTGTCTCCTCTTACCCTGGAATAATCTGGTTCTGTGTTAAGGGAAACTAAGCAATGTTTGGGCAAAAGGAGGTACCTCAGACCAAGGCAATAACTGAAATAATCGGCCAATAAACTGGGTGTTTTAAGAAACACCCCAAATCTAATCGAGGAGGTATTTTTAATCTTCTGTCAAAGTATACCTGCTTGTACGCTGTCACGCAGGAGGAACTGCAGAACTTTTTGGACTGTCCCTCTATCTGGAGCACGTGGCACTGCCCGGAGCCGCTGTAGCAGTAGCCCCCGCAGTTCTCGCAGCAGTTCATGGTCAGGTTGTTGGCCGAGCGGAATTTGGAGAAGCAGGCGTCGCTGCACAGCTTGTGCACAACGTTCTGGTAATTCACCTCGTGCCTGATCTGGAAGGAAAGAAAGAATATAGAATATATAACGAGAACAGAAAGAATATGCATGTTCATCTCTGAGACAGCAACTTGCCCTGATCTAGAGGAAATTAAACCGAAAAAGGAGTTTGCCATTACCACGGCGTTCTTCTGGCACATGCTGCACTTGGTTGAGATGCTGTTAGTGTGAATAGTAACGACAGGTTTCCGTTTCAGTTCATAGGTAGAAAGACAAGACTGGCTGCAGAAATCCTTACTGGAGTTTGTATTGTCAAACTGGGCAGTGATTACATCCTTTGGATTTAGAATGTCTCTATGGAAAAACAGAAAAAACAAACAAAGAGACAATTAATGTTGGTTTCATGTCAACTTGCTGCTCTCTCTTTTTCTGCAGACTAAACACTCTCTAGAAGAGGGTGGATTCATTGAATTTAAAGCTTTTCTTTTTGCTGATCTAAGTACCCAACTTAGTTTTTCTTTTCCTATTAGGAAAATAGTTAAGAAGTACAATTCTCCAGTAGGTATTTTGTGAAACATTTTCTACCTGAACTTAGGAGTGACCTATAAACACATCGAGCCGTATCATTAAATCTTTTCAAAAGGAACTGGGAAAAGGTAACTGTTTTGCACAGTCTTTATTAAAAAAAAGTAATAGAAGGCAGGATATGTGGAATTATTCCATTTAGCAATGAAAATAGCAATCATAACAGGGTAGGGAAAAACGAAAGGTCACAATTTCTAATCACCATGTAGTTCAGTGCAAAGCGGTCTGACCAGGACTGTAACTTCCCATCTCTCATATCCCCCCTATAATTATGTTTATTTGTTGCTGGATTTAACAAGCTGAACTTCCTCCTTATCTCTTCCCTCTTTTGAAACAGTCAATCACAGAAAACTTTCAAAGCCCTTAAGTCAAAAAACCAGGAAGAAATACGTATATAATTTTCTTGGTTGGAGGGACGCCTCCTCCTTGCTCGTCTTCTCAGAGACAAACCATTTTTCAACAGAACAAAACCAAATTACAGTCAAGACTCCTGAACGTTATTCCAAGGCCTGTCCACACCGAGACAGCAAGTGAAAAGAATAATTAACTGAATTATAACCATGTAGGCTCAGGAGCAAACCTCACCTTCCCACTATGGGTCTAGGTAAAAGTAAATGATTTGGGTACTGAAGTCCCTACTACCTGAAAAACTCAGCTCTTAATAAATTGAGTCTCTCTGCATTGTATGAGAGTTTAGCCATGATTAAATAACAGCAGCTGTGACATGTTTTGAAGAGCTAAAACCTAAGCTTAAGGAATGGAGCCGGGCTGGAGAGTTAAAATTTTTTTAGAATCTAAGGAAATATCCTGCCTCAAGTATATTAATTTACCTGTGGTTTTATTTCATTTTAGGGATTTGGTACATTTATTTTCATCTAGAAGGAATAATACATAAAGTATTTTTTGTTAATGGTTTTGATAGCGCAATGACATTTTAAAACGGCAGGAGAGCACAGCACCTTTACAAATACAGCTCATTTAAATTAAAAAAAAAGGTAAGATACACACTTCACAACAGAGGCTTTTAAATCTATGTGTATGTAAAATCCAATTAATGAATTGGAACTGAAAGCAGACAAATATTATTAACAAAGAACAGCATTGGCCATGATTTTTTGAAGGGAAGCGCAACAGAAGTGGCAGAAACAGTGTGCTGCCTAAAAAGAGAATTTAACTGATATTCAAACAGATAGTGGAAGGCTTATTACTAGAAGAAATGAAACCACTGTCCTACTTTGAGCAGCTTGAGCAGGTTTTCTTGGTAGAAGCTGGTGGGCGAGGAGCTGGGACGGTGTATCCAGTGAGGCACAGTGTGGAGCAGAAGAGCTGGGTCGAGCCTTTCCTCTGGTACGCGGTTTGCCCCTTCTGCAGGATTTTTTTACAGCCAGAACAGGAAACCCGAACAGCTGTGGCTGGAACTGAAGGCAGCATTTTACTCATGCCAGAGGATGCCACAGCAGGCTGGAAACCTGATGACAGCTGTGGAGCTAAAAAAAAAAAAAAAAAAAGAAAAAAACCACAGAGAAAACATAGAGTAACTGTTATATATCTATTACACATAATTCACTGGTGTGCAGGGGGCAAGCACATAGCTCATGACTTCATTTGGGTTGTCAAGGTCTAAGGGAGAATTAAATAGCAGATGAACTCCCATAAATACATGCCCTGTGCCCTGCTTTCTGCATAGTAGATTGTTTCAACAACTCTTAAGACTGAGAATGCACTTTAACATCCTTTTCACATTCAATTTTCCTATGCCTAAAAATACGATTATTTTTCAATCTCTGAATGTTATTGTCTCTAAAACAAACTCGTTCTTTTTTCCTACTGGGGTCAGACATAGCAAACAAAATGCAGAATAACTGCAAGGTTATTTGCAAAGGCGAGATATTTTAGATTTAAATAAAGTTAGTCTTGCCTATTTCTTACCAAGAGGGCTGCCACTGACTGAAAATACAGCACTGATTTTCAGCTCCCCTTCCTGAGATTTTGGCTGTTGGCCGTACTCCTGAAACAAAGGGAAAGGAAAAGGAGAACAAATACACACATGTAATAACAGGTGACATGATTTCCATTCTTTCATAAAGCTGTACTGAATTTTAACGTGCAGGAAGGCAGAGATGAGTTCCCCTATGCCTGCTCCAAGGGCCAGGGTTATAAGATACTGCTCCGTGATCACCAAGCACAGATTCTGCAGCAAACTACAACTGGGGGTGTCACATGGAAATGGAAAAGTGTGGCCCCCTGGTGCAGCCCCCTTCCCTGCTGTGCTCCAGGAGAGCTCGGAATTCAACCAAAGCTTAAGAGGAATCTCTGCTCTCCACTCACACCAACGCTCCATCTAGAAGTGCTTTGCAGTCCTTGCCCCTACACTCTGTGAAACGAGCTTTATCTTCACGCTCATAGATGATAATGGTGAAACAGAGACTGGGACCTGGGAGAAGCTTTCTGCACTTAACCACCAGCTACGGAGCTCAGAGGAGCAGCAGATCAAAGCCCTGACCATCCCAGTCCCTGCTCAGGCCGGCTTCCCTGAGAAGGGAGTCACCTCACGTTTTCTACAGGCTGAGAAAATCCCTGCAGACACTCGCTGGTGGAAGAGCTGACACACTCCCAATTACTAGCTCACTCCCCTGCAGCTATTCATACTTCTGACACCACGCTTTCTGCCCCTCCTCTCCCTAGAAATCTGAACCATAAAGCAGATTGTAACACTCTGCATGTAAATCTTAACAGGCTGAAAAGCATAATCTCTTGGAACTACAGAGATGATAAGATTTAACCTACTTACAGTTGTTTGAGAGCAGCGAGGGCATGATGTCATGTTATGACTGAGCTAAATTCGCGGCTGCTGGCTGGCTGCAAGGTAAGCCAATTCTAAATCATTACGCAAAATTAAGCTCTCGCTTCTCCGTGGCAGCAAACTGCTCCCTCAGCTTAAGCCATCCCCTAAAACCACACACCAACAGCCACATAATGCCTGCTTAAACTTAACACTTCTCTTCCTCCTGCGGGAAATGGTGAGTTTCTATACTGAGACAACCAAACTAATTCCCAACAGGTTTCCCAGGAGAACAGGCAATGGTGTTCCCTCATCCTGGGAGCCATCAGGCTGAAACCTTCAAAGCTCAGGTAAGAGAAGCTTTTAAGCTGTGTGTGAGTGTGCCGTGATCATAGAATCACAGAATCATCTAGGCTGGAAGAGACCCCCGGGATCATCAAGTCCAACCATCTACCCTACTCTAAAGGTCTCCCCTGATGATGGGTTTTAAAGCACCATTTTTTGTTTAATATTACAATTTCAAACCTAGTTATTTGCAGAAATACAGTTCTTTAAGCATTTGGAGTGCAGTTTTATCCTTAGTCAATACAAGTAAAACAAATGGAGGCAAATCCTGACATCAACTGTGCATGACCCAGCGTGGTGTCACAGCAGCGTGACAGCACTGAAAGCCAAGAGCCTCCAGCCCCAACTGCAGGTTACAGCAAGAAATGTTCTTATCTTTCAGGATGAATGAAAAAAACCCAAACCCCTCACATTAATTCCAACATAAAGCAAAACAAAATGAACCTCTTGAGTTCTCATATTTTTTCCAGGCAGAGTTGATAATTACAGGATTTGACTCCAGGAATTAAAATATTGAATAACATGATATTTGATATTTAAATTCTTCAGGTCTCCACTTTACTTATTAGTATGATCTTTGATAACCACAGACATCTTGCATTGCATTCCACACAAATCCACACAGCAGATGCCATCTCGGGACGACAAAATAGACAGATTCAACTGACCTACACCTGGTTTGACCTTTTAACGCTTAAGGAAAAGGAAAAAAAAAAAGGAACAATCTCACAGACACTGAACAAATCAGAAGGGCAGTGAGGTCTGAACAATTTCAAATACTTAGCTTACTTCTTTATTTTATTAAGCCAAAAATATTATGGGAAAAGAAGGAAAAAAGGGAAGACAGGCCCAAAGAGAAGAGGAGGGACAGCAGAGTACACAGAATGGTGCTAGAAAAACTAACACCTGCACAAGAAGCAGCATCCCAGCGTCGATGCAAGCGGGGTGAGCACCTTGGGGAGCTCTGCACACCTTTAACTGCAGGTAAAGTTTGGCAAGTAACCCAAATATTAGCAGTGAGGAGACAGGAATTGCAACACAGCTCATGTCCCCAGTGTCACAGGGCAAACCAGTGGCAAAGAGAAGGGTCAGAGCTCAGCAATCCCTGTCCCAGCACCGCGCAACCCACGGGGCAGACCTTCTCCATTTTGCAATTACTGAACTTTTACCTGCGTTGTCACAAAAAATGTCAGTCTCAAACGAGCAAGTCACTTAAAGACATCCTTAAATTGACTTCACTAGCGTGCACATATTTTAATACTTTGACCTCTAAGTGTTAATTTAAAACAACAAACCACTGTGCTTGCAAAGACAACCTTTAAGAGGGAAGCAGCAGCAACAGCACTGTTTCACCTGCACAGGTCTGAATGCCAGTACTCACAAAGGATCCAGCAAAACATCATTTACATTTTCTTTGCTAGTGAGACCGAGTTGAGATAAAGTGTCTATATTGCCACAGATTTCACAATCAAAGTTTTATGGCACTTTGCTTTGTCTCTAACTGAAAAGCAAAACATTTTCAGTGACATGGTAACATGACATCAAAAAGCTGGGGTTGGGTTTCACGGTAGTATAAGAGGGAAAAATCCTTCTACTAAACTACGATCTTCAAGTTAAATTTCGGTCAACAAACCAAATAAATTGCTGAATTTACGTCCAGCTTATGCGGTCAGCTGTCAGACCAAAATGAGAAATGCAATGGGAAACTTACCTCAGAATTATCAGGTTCATCTTTAATTTTGTCTAATAGTCCCTGCTGTGGGGCCATAGCTTTATCATATTCGTCATCCAAAGGCTCCTCCTTAATTCTAATATTTGGTGCAAAGGAATTCCCCAGCTCTTGTCCAATAGATTCCTTACTAGAAAATAGGTAGCTAGACTCCTGAAACAATAATATGAAAAAGAATTCACCCTCCTGCATCTGCCATGAGGAGCTGGGCTGCTGCTGAGGGGAGTTTCTGCTGCAGACCAAGAGAAATGGGTCCTGCCACCGGACAGTGGGAGAAACGATGCGCAGCAGTCGCTGCCTCCGTCTCCCTGCAGCACCCTCTGTCACCCACCCCCAATCCTTGTCACTCCTCTGGCCAAAGCAAAAGCCACCCAGCTCTCTCTAAGTTGGTTGTTCAGTGTAGGGGGGGAAATTCGGCTCTTTGGGCAGCGTCTCCTGCGGATACAGCTCTTCCCTGTCTCAGCTGGAAAAAAGGCAGCAGGTGGGACGGACGCATCCAGGTCTAGATTCGGCTCACGGGTCAGCCAGACCATGCTGAACAGAAGTGGCTACCAAAAGAATCCTCAATCTAAAGAGAGGGTCAGCAAAATTTTACAAAATTATATGCACTGTTTAAGTAGCAAAGATGTCTTAAGAGTCAGAAGATCAGTTTTCTTGATACTCAAATTTACACTCAAATACAAAATACGTTATTTTGAATTATTCCGGTATATTGCTGCACTTGCAAAAGTGTTTGAAAGATCTATAGCTTACCCTGAAGTTAGTTTCTGGAGTTTGTGGCGCTAACTGCGTCCGTAATGTTTCTTCTACTTGATTATGAACTGAGGAAAACATATACATTAAATATAAATGAATACAGATTCCAAAGCATTTCCTTTAAAACCATCTAGAGTCTCACAGTGATCCCCAGCCCCACAGCCTGACAGCACCTCGCAGGTACTAAACTACTCCCTTTCTCCTCCCTGCAAATCAGATGGCAATCCTTAAACAGCATTGACAGTTTTTTATTATTCTATTGGGTCGCTATTTTCCCATTCCAGCAAAATGGTTGTAAAATTCTGAGGCGAATCAGTCATTCAGAATTTTCCACACCCCAGTGGCTTCTGAACTACCCCGTGTTTCGACACTTAAATCAGAAAATACTTTTCAGAGCAACACCCTTCATCCTTTTCTCTGCTGTTCTGGTCTTTTGCCTTTTCCCCCCTTCCCAGGAAACAGTGGATTATGCTTTTTGAGCATGTATCTTTTGAAAAGTCTGGTTTTGCCTGGACTCTGGATGCTGCCTATGAGCATTTACTACTGCAGTTTCAATTACTGGCTGCTCTACCTGAGGCTGCACAGCTTTCAGCCACAATCTTATAACTGTAGGTATTTCCAATTTAAAAATAATTTTAAGATACATTTTTTTGCACAGAAATATTCTTCCCTTGATTTCTACCTGAAGGAACAATCAGAGAGACATCTTTAACTCTTCTTTATTTTAAAAACACCTGTATTCCTTCTCTGTCATTTGTGCAACCCTGGAGCACTGATTTTCAGACGCTGTTACTAAAGATGCCAAGTTTAAATATCAGAATTGTAAGCTGTGAATCTGGAGAAGCAGCCAGGAGGAGAGGCTCTCACTTGTGGGCCAACTCTCTCTCCATACAGTCTTCTGAATAAAATTAAACTGCATGTTCCAGCCTGGTTATTCCTAACTCCCTCGTTCACTGTTCTACTGTGACTTCCAGAGCTTGGGAAGCCAAAAGCAAGCGCGTGGGCAGGCAGACCACTGTCAGGCTCCCCCAAACGAGAATGGATTACAGGCAGCTTTGGCTCCCTCCACGTTGGCTGGACAAAGTCCCAGACACAAGTATCTGAGGAAGAAGGAGAATGGTCTCCCAGGAAAAGCAGATCTCAAGTTTCTCTCTGGCTTTCTTCCTGCAGACACTAATAACAAGCCTTCCCCTGATGCTACCATCAAGTACATCCTGCCTTAAACACGTGTACCTTAATGAAGAACTTTGCTCAAAAAAAAAAAATATCTTTCCTGGCTATTAATTTAACCTGAACTTCAATATCTTTTCTTTTAAGGAGTTCCAAAGTCTATATAAAACAGTGAGAAAAAACAAAAGGGAGCTCGAATTGTCACCCAGCTTGGTTTAATGAACCCCAACAGCAAAGGATGTGTCGGGGTTTTGAAACAAGCTGTGGAGGACAAGACCCCCCCCTAATTCTGCCAAGCCCTTGGGCAAACCCTGGTCCTAACACAGGATTAAATGCATTTCAGGGTTCTTTATAAAGTGCTTTCCTGGATACAGCCAGGCACATTCTCTTCAACAAGACGATGTTTTTAATAACTACCCCTATTGCTAATTTCTGTCTAGTTCTTTCTTCCTCTTTGCTGGGCAGCCAGGTCTACGATGGCAACAGTTACCTGCTTTGTCAAGAAAACTGCTTTTCAATCTAGAATCCATATCTTTAGGGATTTTTTCCAACCGTTTTTCACGTTCTTGAAAATGTCCTTCTCTATTCTTGTCCTTTGCTGAAAAAGTCTCTTTGCCATTATCTCTTGTTACGCTAAAATCTTTTCGAATTGATTTAAATACAGGGCCCTGCTCAAAGGGTGAAGTGAGATCCTTCTGGATTGCATTCTGAATCTGAATTTCCTTTTCACTGTCCAGTTCATGTTCCGTAACTCTCTTGCCCTCTTCCAGGTGGTCTTCATCATGAATTGCTGAAGAAAGAGTGTCTTTTGGAGTGAAATTTTGATCGTCTTCGTTGTCACTCCCAACAACAGGTATGCCTGCCAGGTCCCCAGAGTTCAGGAAATAATCATCATCATCGTCATCCAGCAGCGAGTTTTCAGACCCTGCTCGGTTCTGTATCCCGTAAGAGATGCTGTCGAGGGCAGGTGCTAAGTTGTGGTCAGCGTCCTCAGACATTTCTGCATCCAGAATTTCACCACCTAGGGAGGAAAAAAATCATAAAGAGTCAGAAAATTCACCAACTTTATGTATAACAAAGGACGAGCGTAAGTGTCCTTTGCTAATTCTGCCTGATGCTGCAATTCCTTGAACACTCTAAGCCTTCTTGGGCCAACATTACTGCCAAAACATTGCTGACATAAAAACCAGTTCTGTCCCATTCACCACACAGTGAAGCAGAAGCTGAACTGAGTAAAACTACCCAAAGGAAGAAAAAACATTAACTTCAATTCATCTCCTCTGTGACACTTGTTGAGAAGGCAAGGCAGGGAGGGAATGAGGAGCAAGGGCCAGAAGGGAGAGACAGTCTTTTTCAGCAGCAATGATACTTCTAAGAGATGTTTGGTGAAACTATGGCCTTATATAAATAAATAAAAGTACTTACATTTTTCTGTAATATCAAATACCGCATCAGATTTATCTTCAAACTGCAAAAAGGAAAGCACTATATCATTATCGTGGTCAGCTGCCATGTACTTTTCTAAAAAGTATCTGATCAAAACCAAAACCAACCAGAAGGATCACAATTCCTCCTCCTTCCTTTCTTGCCCCCAGCAAAGTTCTACAAACTGAGACTGTTATGCTACTGAGAAGCCACATCTACCCTAGTGAGGTCAGAAGCACACAGAAAAAGCCCACCATGAAAATGTAGAATTAGCTTTGCTTCCCAGAGAAGGTGGAGGAGAGAGAGGAGGGAATGTCAACATTTTCACTTCTACATGAGAAACTCATACAAGGTCAAGACCACAGACCCTGCCCTCTTTGACGCTCTACGAGCCTTCGTTTCCTCTGAACATTATAAATGGGAAAACAGAAGCCCATACGGCTTCCAGGGACGTGGGCTGCACAGACCTAGAGGTTTCACCTCTATAACAGGGAATGTTCCCTCTCCAGGAGCAGTGAAAGGCTTTACTTCCCAACAGTAACGAGACCACGAGCGTCAGCACGAGTGTCACCAAAGCAGCACCAGCCGATGACTCCAAGTGCTCTACAGAACATCTTTACATTAAACATTCTCTGACAGACGTTACAGTTGGTGGCATGCTTCAATGCTGTCTTGGAGAAGTATGCATGCTCAGCACAATTAGTGTTTTCTTTGGAATGTCCAACTCATTAGCATCCTTCCTTTCCGCCCAGCAGATAACAGCAATTCCTTTCAGTCATCTCTCCTTTCTCTACATCTCCAGCTCTACACTTTCTTTTCTGGTAGATCCTACTCGCGCTTCAGTTCTTAAGCCATCTTAAGGAAAGTAATGGGATTTGATAGCAAAGGGATGATCTCTAATTTCATTTAACTCAAGTCGTTTAGTTGATAAATCGGATATTCCACAGGACTGTGAGGGGGAACTATCAGTTTGGTAGCAGCCAGCCCCAGGAAAGGATGACAACACATTGTCACAGGATTCATCTGACGGCAGAGAGTCCATCAGTCTCTTTCCAGTGTCACTTGAAGGTCTACATAGACAAGCCACCTCCTTCTGCTCAATGACATACACGCGGAAGAGCGAGGACCTGCCCAGCGCTGTGAATATCAAGACAACTTGATACTGCACCAAAAACTTTCCAGCTCCCCTGAGCAGATAGTTGAGGTGGGAAAAGTGAAATACAGGACCAAAAGAAAGAAAAAAAAGTTACGCTCTCCTACAAGTCATTGCAATTATCTAGAGGTAAAAAACAGTAAGTGAACACCTTCCAGGAAGGTTTGCAAGGCCTGAGCTCTGTTACTGCTCTGATGATCCTAGGAGGGTCTCCAGAGATGCAAGCTCCATGTTGATCTAGAAGTCTACTTGTAGTCAACCAAGTTTACACCAGCGTAAAATTAATCCCTATAAATATTGGATACACTTAGTGCCACTATCAGACGCTGAGGACAAAGAGGGTGGTGGTGTGCTGTTTTTGTAGAAGAAGAGACAAAGGAATTTGTTGCCACTTGATCCTAGTATCAGAGTATGAAGCAAACCCAACAGCCATGGTCCTTTTCTCTACGCTGACCTTCCCTGATCCTTTTCATGCTTCCTGTCAGTAACGCTCTTGCTTCTCCAAAAAAAGTCTCAGACAGTTTCCTGGTTGGGTGAGAGCACTTTTCAGTTGAGATGAAGCATTAGATCATTCTTTTCCCAAAGCAGATTTATATCAAAGTAGTTCTTTGACTCTTCCGAGATCCAGAGCACCTGTGGGAAAGTATTTGAGGTTCTACCACAACCCTGGTTACCTCACAGATCCAGACCCCGGCTATTCCTCCTCCTCTGGTGATAACAAATCTTGTAATAATAGGTGACAAAACCAGACATGCTGTTATTAGGAAAAAAAAAACCCTGACATTTTGCAGTCTGGACCTCTCTGTTACATTCAAAGAAATGACAACATGTGAGTCAGCACAAGGGGCCACCTGCAAGAGTGCGTTAGGGACTACCATAAATATTTTGGACAAGTTGGAAAACATTTACAATCTACCTGGAAGGAAGCCAAAACAATTCCCAAAACCAAGGTCATCCTAGGAAAAACAAGCCCTATTTTATTTCTTTACTCTTTCTTTTGTGAGGCTACCAAAATAAGAGATCATCTTGAGTATTTTCTGCCTTTAAAAGGTTTTAGGATCCAAAGGGAGATCTGTGTCCTGTGGTCAAAAGCTTCTATTGGAAATATTTATAGAAGAGGAACTTCAGCATCTGACAACACCCGCAGCCTTATCTAAGCCACCATCTAGTTTCTGATGGTGAAGAACATCAGAACTCCCACATGGAGTAAATCCAAAGAAAGGAAACCAGGGGAAGCATTTGGGTTTTGTCTGCATGGCTACATCTGTGTCTACATATACATAAATATATATATATATATATATATCCCCAATAAATTACTCTTTCCACAACAGTCTATAACTGGACTAGATCCCGAAATGAAGGCTCGTATACTTTTGTTCCTGAATGAGTGTGGTGAATTCTCTCAATTATATACACTTCTATTCCCTTCCCAAATCCCATTACAGTCTTGTTTAATGTCATCTCAGGACAAAATTTTGTATAGCAATAGTTACATAAAAATACATCATCTTAATCAGTCATATAAATTGGCTTTCACTGGATTATGCTCTTATATTACAGAGACGTAAGTCATAATGCCCAACTTACTATTTCTATATTATTCTATTAAATTTCTGCAAAGCAATTCCCTCCTTTACCAGTCCTCATACTTCCTCCTCTGATTAACCCTCATCACCCTTAATTCCCTTTACTTCTTCTGCCTAGATTTTTTAAGATTTGGGGATTAAAATGGAACAAAAGTGACTCCAGAGGCAAACATGAAACGGAGTCATCAGACGGCATTTCCTAGGGGTCATTTTTGACAGATCTAACACCTCAACATCCCAGATTGAGTCCCAAATAACCACAGAATGGAAAGTATCAGGAACGGAAAGTTTTCTATTAAAACACTCTGGGCTTCAACTCCTCACCTGTCCTCAGAACACACTTGCTGCTGTAAAACAAAGCTCAAGAATATCGAATTTTAAAACACCTTCACACAATCACTTTGGCAAGTATTTTGCCAGAGAATAACTGCATGATACTTAGTGCTTTTAAGGAGTGAGCATTCCCTGGAGTTTAAGAGAGAACGGTTTAAGTTTGATTTTAGCAAAATTGAATGTTTTAGGATGTATCTTGCTCGGCGCCCCCTGAGCTACCACCGCACCTGTCCTCAGAACACACTTGCTGCTGTAAAACAAAGCTCAAGAATATCGAATTTTAAAACACCTTCACACAATCACTTTGGCAAGTATTTTGCCAGAGAATAACTGCATGATACTTAGTGCTTTTAAGGAGTGAGCATTCCCTGGAGTTTAAGAGAGAACGGTTTAAGTTTGATTTTAGCAAAATTGAATGTTTTAGGATGTATCTTGCTCGGCGCCCCCTGAGCTACCACCGCACCCAAAGCAACGCGCTGCCCGCTCGGGTTGTAATAAAGAAATAAATGAAACGGATGCAGAAATGGTGATGAAACCCTTAGTTATCCCTGGAAGCAATGTCTTTTGCTTTAAATTAACTACGTTTTACATAAAGACAGTACTGCTTTTATTAAAAAAAAAAAAATCCAAAATTGAATGTTTTAGGATGTATCTTGCTCAGCACCCCCTGAGCTCCCATCACAGCCAAAGCAACGCGCTGCCCGCTCGGGTTGTAATAAAGAAATAAATGAAACGGATGCAGAAATGGTGATGAAACCCTTAGTTATCCCTGGAAGCAATGTCTTTTGCTTTAAATTAACTACGTTTTACATAAAGACAGTACTGCTTTTATTAAAAAAAAAAAAATCCACTAGATGTGTTGTGCTTTTTTTTTTTTTCTTTAATAATTGTATATTAGATTGAAACAGCGTTACATCCTGAGCACTGACCCAGCTCTGCTCGGAGCAGGGGACAGAAAGACACTGTTTACACTTCAATACACTGTGCTAATTTGAAATAACTAAAAACCTGTTCAATGCTTTACCAGCCTTCAAAGTTGCCACAGCTTCCATAAATCAAACAATTAATAGATTCATTTTGTGCAATATAAAGAGCAAAGCTGCCTATGACTACAACCTTGGTTTCTGTGCAAAACGAGCATTTCTTTTAAAAAAATAAACAAGGCAACGTAACAACTTTACATAAATGGGCACATATCTTTCCAGCAAGCCTTTTGAAAGCGGATCCTAGGTTTTACTGCACCCATAAGCAAACTGTGGAAAGGAAGCAGATGTTAAGAAAACTGCAATTATAAATAGTCAGAGCTGATTCTCAATCTGTTATCTGCACAGTTTCCTTGTCCCTAGACACACAGCGGGA